CTTCGCTCCCATCTGGATGTGTTTCCTTTCAACTTCAATGTGGTGGTGTATAGAGGCCAAATGCCAAAACAGTTATCCTTGTTCCAATATTTCTGGTCCTGACTGTAGTTTTAGGTGTCTTAATTGTGTAGCATGTTAACATACCTTGAGGCATGAATATTATTTAAATAAAATAATTTTATATTATCATATATTCAAAGGATCTTAAGCTACACAATTAAGACACCTTGAATATATGATAGTATAACATTATTTTATTCAAACACCATTCATGCCTAGGGTTTTGGCTACATTAGGTGAAACTTTTTTTCCTTCTGCCCATTTAAATGGAACTTACAGCTTTTTTGTTCATACTACGGCTCATCATTTATCTTGTTATGCTGACTTACAATTTGCTTCAAAGCATGTATGCTAAACATGGAACCTAGTGCTTACAGGAACAGCTTATACAGTTATCACTTCTGTATGTGTCATTGAACAGATAACATGAAACAGAAAATACCTTATTCCCCACCCCCCCATTGCCCCACCTCCCGTAAGAGCAGATATTATGATATCTGAACTGAGGTGACTACATTTTTTACTTTGGCAAAATTGGAAACACAGAAATCTGCCTGACCTTGTGTTGATTCTGGAATCATAAATGATCTCCTTCTCACTTCCAGCTCAGGAAGAAAACCAAAAAAGATTTGAACAGAGCCTCAAAGAAATATGAGAAATAAAAAAGAGACTGCCAAGCTCCCCCTTCTCTCTCTAACAATTAGGAACCAAGATGGAGAAATTGTGCTGAGACCTGTTACTGAATAGTACCTTCAAAACTATATGTACATCCTAAGCAAGATGCTGCCATTTGCATTTGTAGAGTTCAGTTTCAAGCACATTTTTTTTTCTGACACCAAGGCCAACAAAGCTGCATGGATCACTGGCTTAATTTGCTCTTACCAATGAATCATATGTTTCTGGCTTTTCATCTATCTTTCCAGCTTTCTTCATTCTGTTGAGTCGTTTCTGTTCAATAACTCCTGTCCGATCAAGAAATATGTCATCATCACTATCATAGAAGTCTTCTTCTTCCCAATTCTTTGCTTTTCTTTTCCGGGACACTAAGAAAAATAGAGATAACAAACAAAATAAAGCAATTGGAGACCAATAATCCACACATATTACCATATGATTTCACACCTTTTTTAAAAAAGTAAGCGTGTCATGTAAGATCCACACATATTTGTGATGAAAATAAATGTGAGTAATGCATTACAAGGATTGAATGCCTCTAATGTTGTAAGTTGCCAAAAGATGGCATTGCTGACATGCTTGAAGCTCTAACACAGTAGCTCCTGAACCTTTTGTTATCACACCTCCCTTTAGTGTACTTTAATGTACACACCTCCCCTAAATATCCAAACGCCTAAATGAACACAAACAAACAATGAAAACAATACAATGAATCTTTGGGAAAGGTGGATTTATTGTAACAATGTACAACTAAAAGGTTCTTCACACCTCCCCT